AGACAGGTGAATACAGGGAGTCTTGGCTTACTGGAGCAGAGACACATAAGGGGAAGCAAACCCTGGTGGGAACTAATGTTGGGCCAGGACGTCGTGAACATTAAATGACAAATTGCTGGGGGCTCATTGGGAATGAGGCTGAGAGTTAAAAATTCCAGGGGGCCCAGTCTTAGGGGGCCTTCCACACTTTTGTGAGATTTACTTCCAGGAGCTGGACCAGGTTTTCAGGAAATATTAGAGAAAAATCCCCTTGTGTTTCTGTCAGAGGGAAAGGAAAAAAAAATTTTTTTCAAAATATGCCAGAGCACTCTGTTGTTGTTTTTCTCCAAGGTTTTTGTTTGTTTGTTTTAATTCCACTTAGTTCATATACAGTGTATTATTAGTTTCAGGTATAGAAGTAATAGTAATTCAACACTTACATACAACACTTGGTGCCCTCCTCTATTCTTAACAGGGCCTGCCTGCAGGAGAAACTAGTTAACCAGAGCCTAATCTGCTGGGGTATTATTAGAACCTAACTGGCCTGGGGGTAGGAAGATACTCAACTCCAGCCTTCCACATGGGAGGAGGGAAATACCTACCCAGCTCTAGGCTACCTGTCCCACCTAAGGGAAGAGAAAAAAACTGAGAAACACTTGGGCGTTCACAGTCCAGAGGCACAGAGGCACTAACAGACCAAGACCTGCTCATAAGACTGTGGAACTCTTCCCTGCTACCACACCTCACCACCGCATTACAGGTGGCCCATTTACAGCAGTTCCTTTTATCTGGTATATCATGTCTGGCTATCAAGAAAAAAATTATAAAGCATACTAAAAAAAGTCAAAAAACACAACTTGAAGAGACAGAGGGAGCATCAGAACCAGACATGGCAGGGATGTTGGAATTATCAGACTGAGGATTTTAAACAACTTTGATTGATATGCTAACCTCTCTAATGGATAAAGTAGACAACATGCAAAAACAGATGGACAATATAAGCAGAGAGATGGAAAGTCTAAGAAAGAAAAAGAAGGTGTCTAGAGATCAGAAACACTGTAACAGAAATGAATGCCTTTGATGGACTTATTAGTAGACTGGACATGACTAAAGAAAGAATCTCTGAACTTGAGAATATACCAATAGAGACCTCCAAAACTGAAAAGCAAAAAGAAAGAACACTGAACAAAAAGCTGGAACTGAGTATGCAAGGACTGGAGGACAGCAACGGAAGGCATAACATGCAAGGCATTGTAATACCACAAGAAGAGAAAAGAAGGAAACACGGGCATCAGAGTGAGGAGAAGGAAGGAATCAAGGATTATATTGTCCTTATTTTGGACTTTGATGCCTGAGAGGTGGCCCTGAATCCGAATTTTAACCTAGATGAACTTCACTGCCAAGTCAGTGTTTCCCCTTCTCTTTCCTCCTGTCTCAACTGTGACCTGGTGCTGATCAAGTCCTTCTTTACGTAAAGATATATCTAAGAAAGCCCATGAACTCGTGTAAGTTTTGTGTGTATGTGTGCATATTCATTTTTTAATAGAAGATACATGGCCTCCATGTGATTGTCAGTTTAAAAATCACTGAGCTAAGACATTTAGCTTCACAACTTGGTAGCTGATGTTTATTCAGTTTTGTTCTAGAGATTAAACGCCTGTTCGGGAGTGTGTGTGTGGTTTTTTTTTAAGATTTTTTTTTTTAATTTATTTATTTGACAAACAGAGCGAGAGAGGGAACACAAGCAGGGGAAGTGGGAGAGGGAGAAGCAGACTCCCCACAGAGCAGGGAGCCCGATGCGGGGCTCGATCCCAGGACCCGGGGATCATGACCTGAGCCGAAGGCAGATGCTTAACGACTGAGCCACCAGGCGCCCCGGGAGTGTGTTTTAAAAGCATTCTAAGTGGTTCTGCTTCAGGTAGTGCAGTAGGTTAAAAATTCTTGAAGATCTTCCTGACATGAAACACAGAAGTGTTAGATAAATCATAGCAAAAATATTTTCCGATTCTTTGCTGAACTCTAGGGTACGTGAGAGGTCACCACTCCTCACCCACCCCTGAACCGTGAGGCAAGAACACAAAGCCTTCTGGAAAAACAAAACAAAACAAAAAACAGGAGAATAAGTGAAGCCTAGGTGGTTCTGGCGGCATATGTTGACTGGGGGAACCTACAGCTTTAGCGGGTAATGGTTGCCTAGGGCCTGGGGTGGGCAGAAGCCAAGACCGGGTTTGTGTACATTGAGGACAAATGGGGGACTAAATGTGAGACTCTGCATTCGTCCAGGTGCTACACCCTTAGGGAAGGTTTGTGCTAGGAAAATCCCTGCTGGCTAGGAAACCTTTAAATAAACCTCTCTGCCTCTCCAAAACGCAGGCGGAAAAATAATAGTAATAATAATATTGGTATTAATAATAATGATAATAGTCTCCTCTAATAATCTGAGACCATAATTGTCTCATATGAGTTTGGGAATACACGCTATACAATCAGAGAAATCCCCAAATGGGAAATGAAATTGAAGCCAAACCAGGTTGATAGCTGGTAGGTGTAGGAGTAGGAGCTAGTAGGAGCTGATACAGACCTTATCTGGAGAAAAGCGTCCTCAAGCCAGCTCCTTCAGGATTCCCAATGATTAATATTAGCCAAATATGAGTTCACCATAAACAAGGTCCCGTAAACAAGATCAGCAGAGACAGTAACCAAATTCAGGCGCTCAAGGACTAAGAAATAAAATACCTATGTATTAAATGGTTATATTATTAAATAATGTTATTAATGATGGAATTAAAAGAAGGAAAGACCAATTAACTAGGGAATTAAAGCTACATGAAAATCTATCTCAAAAACCATAAACTGGCAAAAATGAAACAGATTGACAATACTGAGTGCAGTATGTGGAAGAGCTAGAACTTTCCTTATTGCTGGGGGAAGGAGGTGTATAAATTGATATAATTGCTGTTACCAATTGTCAAGTTGAGGAATGTACACTCTATGACTCAACATTAACACTTGAGGGATATACCCACACATACACTTGAACATGCCCGAGAGACATGTCCAAGCATGAAGTCTGCAGGGCAGCAGGGCTGGTGATGGCAAAACAGACAAAATATTTGGAAAACAATATGCACTGACAAGAGAAAATAAATTATGATGTACCCTACAACAGTAGTCTATCCAGCTCTGACAATGAACTACAGCTGCACATGTGTAAAACTCAAATATGAGGAACCTCAGAAACAATGTAATGTGACAACAGACGAATACATTCACTTTGGTGACATATTTATAAAGTTTAAGTGCTTAGAAAACTCAACAGTATAAAAAATAAATAAATAAAATATAAAATATAAAAATAAATAAAACATGCAAAATTATAAAAGAAATAGCAAGCAAAATATAATATTTATAATATTTATAAAATAAAAGCAAGAGAATTACAATATGAAATTTTAAAAGGTGGGAGAGGGTCAGAGAACATGAATACAGGGAACTCTAAGGTTACCAACCGTGTTCTATTCCTCAAGCTGAGTGGAGGGCACACGGATGTTTATCTTAGCGTTCTCTTTATAGTATAGATTTTATTTTTTTAATCTATAAAAATGTCGTGGCTTAAAAAATACTATGCATTTCTATCTGATTCATTTCTATTATTCTAATAACTTCTTGAGGAATGAAAAGTACTTGTTTATAAAAGAAGTAAGGCACTGACATAAAAGGAGACATATTTTACTGTTATTCTAATTTATTTATTTTTTTAAGTACTGTTGTCTTTTTATGGTGTGTTACTCTCAGAGATAGAAATTGCTTTGTAAAAAAAAAATGCTCATTGGCTCTGAAGATCAACATAGAAAAGGATGCATTAATTACTAGTGCTCCTAAGTGTCCCCCCCAAACTAAAACATTTTAATGGGGTTATGCCGTGCATGTTTTTGATCAATCTTATATAAGAAAAAGTTTAAATTTAAAAAATGCATCTGTGATTATTTCAGTTCCTTTAGTTTTCCTTTGTTCCCATTCATGTTCTAAATAGAACCCAGAAGAATGCCAGTTATTCTGATACCTCTTGAGAGATACACTTCTAGTGGTATAGTTTTTTTTTTTTTAATGAGACTTACGTAGTCAGTTCAGTGTGGGATTTTGAACTAGTAGCAAGAATTAGTCCACTTATGTGGAATCCGTAGCGTACTCAAGTGATGTCAGATGTTGCAATTCATTCAGTTTAAAGATTTCTTTCATATTACGGAGTGAAGTGGGATGCACCTGTTTAGTCGCAGACAGGAAGAAAACACCTCTCAACATCACTTCAGATGCAAACCTTACACAAGTGAGTTCTTGCTGAAGAGGAGGCTGGCTTTATGATAGGCCCATTTTCTTCCTGTGGGGTTCACTCAGAGGGTTTTGACTTAATTTAACCTAGCAAAATGCATCCCCACATTTCTTACACTACAACATTTAAGTTCCTATTTTGCTTATGCATGTCCCCCCCCCCCTTTTTTTAGGGCTGAAATAAGGGAAGGAGAATGTTTATAATGAAGTTGATAAAATAAGATAGAATAAAGCGAGTTTTGATATATGACAGTGGTCACAATGTAGATGACTATAGTGAAATTTTTTTAAAAAAATTAATTTAAATACCCTTTAACAGAAATAATTTAAATAAAACACTTACCTAACATAGATTCAGTATTTGACAAATTTCTAATGTCTTTTACTTCTGTTTCTTGGTCTATAATGACTATTATCAGTTTGTAGGCTTAAAATACGGCACTTCCTAAAAATGCTAAAGTTCTTATCAACAAACTGTGCTTGAGAAGCATTTGCTTCATTACATATTGCTTCAGTTTAGGTCTGAAAGTTACAGTGTTTCATGCAGTAAGTTTCTTCCTTATTCATTTTAACTATACAAATCATCTCATTTAAGTGTGTGGAATAACATTTATATACCATATGACTTTGCTCAAGCCTTCTCAATATACTAAAGCATGTGTTGATTTTCTCCCCACTCTGTGTTCCTCTAGGATAGTTTCCCAGCACGATTTGGAGGAATTCATTTTGTCAATCAACCATGGTATATCCATGCCCTGTACACCGTGATCCGGCCTTTCCTAAAGGAGAAGACTCGGAAAAGGGTATCTGTTTGTTTCTTTGTTTTTATATTCTTTCTCCTCCCACATTCAGTGAATTATGCTGCATAATGTGTATCTAATATTGGCTGTGATCAAATGTGCCTCTACATTGCATATAAATGTTCAACATACAAGACATTTAAAAATTCTTAAAGACCTTATGATTAATTCTGATCAATGTATGTATGAAAGAAATACTTAAAAGCCTGCTAGTCTACTTTCCCACAAATTGGGAGAACATTTCAGTACATTCATTATATATTAAAGCCTCAGTTTAAAAGTAAAAAAAAAAATTGTGCCATGTTCCTAGATTGTTATTAGTACACTTAATTTCAAGTAAGATCCAAAGAAAAGTTATAACTTTATAAGCTGATATATGAAAGTTATTTCACAATATGTATCACATTGAATATAGTGAATTTTGTGATATTTAATATAACTTTGTAGTGATTGTCATGATCAGTCACACATTTCAGAAAGAATGCTGATGTGTAGAAATATTAATATTTCTTTAAATGGCCAGTTACTTGAGTTCTAAGACCAATTTTTATCTAACAATGAGGATATTCAAAGTACATACAACAAAATAATCATTTTTTTCTGTGAATAAGACAATTTATATAAAGCATTTAGCACAGTGCACGGTACATGGTAAATGCTGAACACATTTATCGTTATTATTAATAATATAGATTTTAAAATGCATTTTAATGCCCCGTATTTCATTTTATCCTCCAAAAGGCTCTGAAGCGTAACTTTAGTAAGCCTTACCTCCTATTTCAGAGCTGAGAAAACTAAATCTTAAGATGGTTAAGTAACTTGCTTACTCATTTACACAGCTGTAGAGTTGTAGAGCTAATATATGAATCCAAATATCTCCAGATTTAGAGCTATTTTTACCACCGTGCTGTGACCAATTTTCAAATGATTAGTTCCAAAGTAAAATATACTTTACTTCTAAATGTGTATTGAAGGTAATTTTCCATGTTTCTCAATGAATGAGAAAGCACTTCAGGTATTTCTGAGCTGTGTTGTAGAAGCCTCATTGTGAGCATAGAGGAGAGGTAATTGTTAAGTATGTGTTTGTATCAAACATTGAACAGAAGGTCTTCTGAATATGAATTTGTTGAAAATGTTCTGTTAGTATAGGAGGAAGCCTTCTGTAAACAATTACAATTTATATCAGGAATTGTTTCTACCAGTGAGAATCAAATTAATTTACATGTTAGAATTCAGAAAAAAATGTATTGATGTGCTTCCCAAATAACACTTACAAACTTTGTTTTGTGAAGAGGTGATCAGGTGATCCAAAACACCTGCTGGGGCTTTTAGTACATATTATACTAGTGAATGCTTCTGTAGTAGTCACTCTAGGCCACATGCTCTTCTAAGTACTTTACATATGTTAATTCATTTAATCCTTACAAGGATGGCTCTAGGGGAAGCATTGTTATTTTTCTCCTTCTATAGATGGGAAAATGAGGCACAGAAGGTCAAGCAAATTCCTCTAAATCACAGCTAGGAGGTAGTAGAGCTGAATATGTGGGTTTATTGGGAAGACAGTTCCAGACAGAGGGCACAGCAAAGACAAAGGTCCTCAGGTAGAAACATGCCTGGTACACTTGGCAAACAGCAAGAAGGCACAGAAAGCTGAAGCAGAATGAGCTACTGAGGAGGGTAGTAGATGATGGGATGGAAGGGAATATGGTATGCCACATCATAGGGGGTCTTGTATTCCATTGCAAGGGTCTGGGCTTTCAGTCAGAGTGAAATGAGAAATACTTGAAAGACTGAATACAGGGGTGACTTGTTCTGAGCACAATGTACTGCTCTGTTGAAAAAGACTAAGGAGGATCAAGTCTAACCCCAAGCTCCAGGTTTGGGGTTATTTGATTGAATTGAATAATTTTGACAATGCCTGGAAAAATTCATGGATAGCATTATTCTGGATGGAAGTGAGATATCTGAGCTTTACCATTTTAATTAAAACTATATGACTTGTAAATCTTCATAAGACAAAACAGTTATAGGTTAAAACACTTCTGATTTCTACTTATATAATCAATATAAAGTGCAAAGCTATTATATTTCTTTATGGGTATTCCAAGTGATTCAGCATCATAATATTACTCAAACACTGTATACTTTGGATGCTATAAATCTGTGCTCTGAAAAACTGACAAAAGAAAACCCAAAGAATAATTGTGCATCTTTTGTCACAAAAAGGAAACTCCTGGTTCTTCTTTTTTTTTTTTTTAATTAAATGAAATCTGACTTTGAGTCTCCAACATATGAACTAATGGGAATAGTGACCCTAGGTGGTAGGGGTGTCCCTTCTCAAAATCTCATCAATATCTGGAATCTTCCATGCAGAATGAAATTTTCCATCCAGGATGGCTACTTCTGACATCCTCACTATTCAAGCCAGTATTAGTTTCTTGAATTAAGGTCTCTTTCTGCTCCCAAGTTGTCTGTGAAAAAGAAAAATAGCATCTTCACTAAAGCTGGAACCCAATGCCTAGGATTCAACCTCCATGCATTCTTCAGCTATTTCAGGGTTGTGGTCTTGCCACTCCCAAGAGCTGACAGGAAACAGGCTTCCATACTGATTGGTGCAACTTCCTACCTGTTCCTCAGTATGGGGGACTCTCTCTTCTATTCCTTGCTAATTCCCAAACGTATTTCACTTTTCTCCCTTCCACTCAGGTCACCTACCATAATCTCTTTAATGGCACAGTGTAGGGAGGTAAAGTAAAAGTATTATTTAGGCTAATTCTTAGAATAGTAAGGTACTCTGAGGCAAGGGAGCCCACAAGGACAAGACTTCTTGCATGAAATAGTGGAAGACAGAAGAAACACGCACTGCAAATGTCCTGAGACAAATGTGTGCATTGTGTGTTTCAGCAAGGAGGACATAGTAGATGTGTTCAAAGAAGGAGTTTATGGAGGGCCTTACAGGACTTACTCTAAGAGAAAGGGGAAGTCAGTGGGGAATTGTGAGCAGAGTAACGTGATCTGACTAATGTCGTGACATGGTCATTCTGGCTGCTGTGTTGAGAACAGAGTGTAGGTGGCAAGAGTGAAAGCAGGGAGAGCAATTAGAAGGTTAGTGCAATAGTATAGTTTGAAGGATGATGGTAGTTTGACTTGGGGCGGTAGGGGCAGAATTGGTCAGATGTTCAGATTTGTGATATATTTTGAATGAAGAACCAAAAGGATTTACTGACAACTTAGAGAGGAATTAAGGATGAGTCGACAGTTTTAGCCTGAGAAACTAGAAGCAGTCATACCACTAACTGACATTAAAAACAGGGAGGAGCTGATTTGGGGAAGAAAGCTGTGAGTTCAGTTTTGGACATACTAAGTTTGAGGTGCCCATTGACCTCTTATGTGGAGATGTCAAGTGGAGAGGGGAAATAGCAATCTGAAGCTCAAAGGAATGGTCTGGATGCAATATATAAAGTTCAGTGTGTGAATGATATTTAGGGCCCTAGACTGAATGAGATCACCAAGGAGTAAGTACACTTAGAGAAGAGAATCAATCCAAGAACTAAAGCCTGGAGCTCTGTGACATTAAGATGTTGGGGTGATGGGAAATAATCAGCAAAAGAGACTGAAAAGAAGCATCTGTCAAAGTAGGAGAAAATCAAGAAATGCTGGGAATAAATGTTGCAATGATGAGAGTCATTTATATCCAATGCTACTGAGAGGTGAAGAAAAATAAGGACTGAGAATTGAACATTGAGTTTAGCAATGAGAAAGAGCCTGACAAGAACCATCTTCATGTGATGGTGGGAAGCAAAGCCTGTTTGGACTGGACTCAGGAAAAATGGGGCTAGAGAATTTGGACGGTGAAACAACTCCTTTGATGAGTTTTGTAACAAAGGGAAGGAGAGAAATAGGTTAATAACTGGAAGTAGAAGTCTGGCCAAGAGAGGTTTTGTGCCTATGTTTGAGGGGCATGGGAAGGGAGGTGGGTTGGCAAGTTTGTCCTCTGATGGGAAAGATCTCCCAGACAGAGGAAATTTGATGATATGAGAAAGACAGAAGAGACTTGCTTGAGCAATATAACTGAGTAGAGGAGAGAGGATGGCTTCCAGTGCACAGGTGGAGAGATTGGCCTTTGTAGAGTTTATCTTTCCATTGTACTAGGCTCAGAGGCAAAGCATACGGACACAGATGCTGGTGGGTGGGTCTCATCTGGTTGCCCTATTTTTTCAGTGAAAGAGGAAATAAGGCCAAAGCTGAAAGTGATGTTGAGGGAGGATGTAAAAGAATGTTAGCAAAGAGAGAGAAAGTAGTGTGCTAGGATTTCATTTATTTCTCTAAGGATTTATTAAGATAACTCATGCATGACTTGAAGAGATTTCTTACATGAAGAAACATCTAATGAAATAAGGTTGTATAACTAATAAAATAAGAGTTTCAGGTGCTAGAACTTAACTCCCCCCCCCAAATTATTTTGATTTCTTATGAGAAGAACCTAAGTGTGTGTGTGTGTGTGTGTGTGTGTGTGTGTGGTGGGCAGGCTGTTGTGCTCTGCAAAGAGGAGCTGGAAGGTGTAAAGTTTGCAATTAACCTAATGTGCTTTGGAGCAGATGTCATCTTCCACCTCTGTAGGCTCCGTATCAAATATTTCAGGCAGCCTTTTGCTCTGCCTATTTTGGCCAGTGACCTGCTCTCATCTGTTTTTACTGGTCCATAATCTGTTGAAATTACTTGTTGATTTATAATTCCCATCCCTATCATTTTGTTGGATGTTATAGACTAGTTTTTCTTTGTTTTCCAATATATTTACTTCAGTGGACTCTAAAATTACAGAAAGCAAAGGTAATTATGTTAGCCTGTTCATCATAAACCTGAAGTATGAGTCACTTAGAAACCATGAGTGACTATTTCTAAGTTACTTATAAACTATAATCCTTAAACAAATATTATATAAATTATATGAGATGACACGAATGCTTTTTCAGAGAAGACCGATCTACAGTTTTGAGATTGAAATGAAAGAAGAGAAAAGAGGTAGCAATTTATGGAGAAACAAATCTTGAGTATGTACCTTGAGTAATTTTTCAGCTTAAAGATTTATTTATTGTGAATTGTGTAAGACTGATGAATCACAGACCTGTACCCCTGAAACAAACAATACATTATATGTTAAAAAATAAGAAAAAAAGATTTATTTATAAGAGAGAAAGAGAGAGAGAGAGCAGGGGGAGAGGCAGAGGGAGATGGAGAGAGTGAATGCCAAGCAGACTCCAGGCTGAGCGAGGAGCCCAATGTGTGGCTCAACCACACGACCCTGAGATCACGACCTGAGCCAAAACCAAAGGTCCATCGCTCAACCGACTGAGCTACCCAGGTGCCCCAATAATTTTTCAGTTTAAAAAAAAAGCTCTAGGTAATACCAATTATTAATGTATACATACAGCTTTACATTTTCACTCCATTATTGCATTTTTATTTGAACAATAAGCATGGAAACCTCTAGTAGAGAAGATGCTGGCAACATTATAGAACATAAGTCCTTTGGGATGTGAACCTTCACTCATCCTTTCATTATGATGATGCTAATCTACTTTTATTTACATCACACACTTTGCATTATGAAGCAGTAATTTAGTGTTTACAGTATTCTTATTTTTATTGATGATAAAAGAGAAAGCCATACTGGTAACAGCTTTTGGGCTTAATAACTTGGATGGGCTCTATAGTTGATGAGTCCCTTATGAGAATGGTCTCTTTTAACAGCATTTGTTATGCACATCATTAGCTTTGCACAACTAACATCAAGATGATGTACAGATCAACATGCCCATTGGATTCTGCTTATGTCCTCAACTCTAAAGTAGGAAACCAAATTTCAGGTTTCAGCTCTTTAAGCCAACCACTATCTGACTTTCTAGAAACTACTTAAGATTCCTATGCCTCAGGATTTCTATATGAGATATTAGGATAACAGTACCATCCCTGTATGTTTCACAGAGTGGATGAAGGATTTAACTATTTTAACAGACATGGAAAACTCTTGTTTTTGCTTTTCCTAGCCTCACTCCCTTCTCCTAGCATTTGCATGGTATTTATTCTCCTGTGTGTGTTTCTCCTCACCCTTCTTCTTGCATTTGTAGATATTTTTGCATGGTAACAACCTGAACAGTCTACACCAACTAATTCATCCCGAGATCCTGCCTTCTGAGTTTGGAGGAATGCTGCCCCCTTATGACATGGGAACATGGGCAAGAACACTGCTAGACCATGAGTATGATGATGACAGTGAATACAATGTAGATTCCTACAGCATGCCCGTGAAGGAGGTGGAAAAGGAACTCTCCCCCAAGTCCATGAAGAGGTATGCTGGAGGTGGCTGGGAAGTGGGCTGTAGCCAGTGTGGGAATGCCCCGAGTGAACTCCTCGGTTTATACTTTTGGGGAGCATATATTCAGTGCGATTTTAAATCCTTTTATGCCCCCATGATTAGACATCTAGGAATTTTGAGTCAAAGATAAAGTCATTCAAGGCAGTGTCAACTCAGTTTTGTTCCATGTTCACAGACAATCTAACAAGGCTGTTAGGGATCACTAAATCCAGTGGTTTTTCAAACTGTACCCTCAGAGTTCTGGGGGAGTACCTTAGGCCTAGCAGGTGGTGTGGGAACAGTGCCCATCTCCACAACGAGAACAACTTCTCCTTCTATCCAAGCAATTTACTAGACTTTTGTATAAGATTTCATTTGAAGAAAGGGATCCATGGCAAGCACACTCACACACACTCACACAAACATACACACACATGCACACACATTTCAAACTTATATTCTCTTTTTAGTATCTCTGCTCTGTTTCTGATTTAAAGGTCTAGCCATTCCTGAGGCAAAACGTTCTATTTTCCTACAGCTTTACTCTTTATAAAGTTCATTTCTGAGTGAGATTCTGATTCCTTGCTTTGACTCTCATGATACTTTTATGCCTGTTTTCTTTCAGTCAATGCAGGTTTATTGAACACATACTCTGTAATAGGCACTTCCCTAGGTGCTTTGGATTCATTGTGAACATACACACATCCAGCCATAGCTTAGTGGTGATGGAAGGCAGGGGAGTTGCTGAACATGCCCAAATGTATAGCTGCCTCTGACTTTGCATTCTGTAGCAAACCAGAAGATACCTAATTCTCAGGCTCCCCCAGGCCACAGAAAGCCAGAGTTCACTTGGATAGTAGTAACGAATATTATTTCTCTGTTCATTTCCCATCACAGAAATATAAGTACCACAGCCCCTGCAAGTCTCTTTTCACCTGGCTCAGGGAGGACCAAGGCATCACCCCTGTCATCCCTCACACTATCTTGCATCTTTCTCTGATGAAAAGCAAGGGTCCTTTGGTCACAGTTGTGTTCATGCTGGGGTGCCGCTGTTCTCAAAGTGGGCCTCCTGGTGCAGCTGCTGCTGTTGTTGCTACTGTTGTTGGTGTGTGTGATGTCCTCCTCTCCCCAGGCTGCTCCACGATGCCTTGGAGAGAAGGGAAAGGCTGGAGACATCTCCAGCTTTAATTTCTCCACCAATCAACAAGCAGGGGGAGGGGCAGAGGGAGAAGCAGGCTCCCCACCGAGCAAGGAGCCCGATTTGGGACTTGATCCCAGGACCCTAGGATTGTGACCTAAGCTGAAAGCAGATGCTTAGCTGACTGAGCCACCAGGTGCCCCAGAATAACTTCCTTCTAATAAAAATAATAATCCTAGTTGTTGTTATAATCTGCCATTTACTATGTACTTATCATGAGTCAGTCCCTATCTAGGTATCTTTTTCATAACATTAATTTATTTTATCCTCACACAAACCCTGTTAAATGGATGTTGTATCCTCAAAGTCACATAGTCTATGTGTAGTGGACTGGGGTTCCAATCCATGAGGTATAGAGTCTAACGTGTTGTTGACGTAAGCCTTCCTTGTCTACCCTCTGAGATAGCAGGACGTAGGCTGTCACTCTGGAACTAGCTACATAAGGATTTGGAAACCGCTGTCACTGGTGATCCCTGGTTTTTACCTTTACCAGCTAACAGTGCTATTTCCTTCAACCACTTCTTCTGTGACGTGTTCGCTAACGTGGTTCCCTCCTCAGAGCACGTATCTCTCCATATCCTCCACATCCTGGCTGTATCCTATCACCTGCAGTCTGCGTACCTGCACTCCTCCCAAACTTCCTATCTGTGTCTTTGCCTCTACCCTTACCCTGCTCCCCTGGCCCCCATATATTATCCACATGGCAATCTAAAACATCTTTTAAAATCTAAGTCAGATCATTTCACTTCTCTGCTTTAAATTTTTTAATGACTGATGATTATACAGTGAATAAAATAAATTCTGTAACATGGCTTACAAAGTGCTATATGATCTGATCCTGCCCCCCTCACCCTTCTAAGTATATCCCACCATCTCTTTCCTCCCTGTCTTTCAGCCATAATATCCTTCATTCTGCTCCTGCAGCCTCCCTCTCCAGCTTGTTCCTCTCTAAAGGCCTTTCCACGTGTCACGGCTGCATAGGATGCTCTTTTCCTGCATCTCCCAATCCAAGGTCACCTCCCTAAGAGAGTGGTTAGGTCTTTATCAACCATTAGGTCTTAATCAACTCTACTTCCTCCTCATTCTGGTCACTCCCTATCAGACCCCTCTTTTATTTTCTGCCTGTCAAATGACTCATTTTATTTAACGTTATGTCCCCTCCCCAAATTTAGGCTTCATGAAGACTTCAATGACTTTGTCTGTCCCATTCTCTGAATCTCCAGTGCCTGGAGTAGGGCCTGGAACACAAAGGGTGCCCACTGGGGATCAGTAGAGTGAATGAAGGAGCGCTCTGCTGTCTGTCAGTGGCCCCTTATAAGTCCAGTGTTCAGAACTGAATAGGTGACATCTGTTGCTATCACTACTTGCATCTAAGTTCCAGAACCCTAGCTTTGCCCTCACTGGCTTCTGTTGTTGCCTCTGTTGCTGTGGTTCAGGCAGCCAAAGCACATTGCTGACTCATTTTGAGCTCCCTAGCACTAGAAGGTTCTTCACTTATAGATCCATATCCTCATAATTCTCTCTTTCTGTGTTTAGCTTTTTCCTCCAAGCAGATAATTTTAATTGATTAACACCATCTTGTTAGATTTGGCTCGGTCTGTCCACCTTTTGAAGTCTTTTTGGATCCTGATTTTCTTCTCCAATTAATTAGGCTATTCTGTCCTCTGCAGACTTGGCTCAAGGCACATCGACCTCCCCAACCCTGAGTTTTTTGCTTCTGACGTGGATTGATTAGAATTTCAGCCATCCTTTGTTTGGTGTAGGTTTTGTATCTTACGAAGCTTTTAGGGTTCTATCTGAAAACTTGTGAAGAATGAGCTTAAGAAAGTCATTTCATTTGATTCTCACCTTCTGTGTGTCAGGGAGTGGCAGCTCCCCATCAAGGATGGGACAGAATTGTTCCTAGGTTCCCCCCTGCTCTCCTTTCCTCCATTTTTTTTTTCCAGTTTTGTAATATCATTAGGTTGCGAGGAAAAAACTCATTCCTTCACCAGAGACTTGTAGATATTTCCTCCTTCAGGGGAATTTATCTAGATGTGTAAGAAGAAGACTTTGTTTTCCTGTGTTGATTTGTGGAGGAATAGCATGGTCACGTGAAAAGATAAAAAGTTCAGTCGATTGTGGGGGCCTTATACTAGAGGAACATCTTTTACCTTACATCTCTAGTACCTAGGATAGTGCCTAGGATAGGCACATAACAGCTGCAGTGAGCAGCAATATTAACATTGCCGTTGTAATATGAGCTCCGATTTTATCGAATAATATCAACATCTATTGTTACTACCTGTCAAACTCCATCTAATGCTTTGTATATATTGACTCCTTTGCTTCTGTAAACAACTAATCAGGTAGTGCTATCTCCCTTTCATTGGTGAGGAGACCCAGATACAGAGAAGGTAAGTAACTTCCACATGGCACATAGGGGCAAAGTAGCATGGCTAATACTGGAAAACAGGCCATAGGATTCTGTAAGTCATCTCCCTAACTGCTACCATTTGCTATCTGCCAGAATTTGTGCTGTGATTTATCCATGCATTATTGAATTTGAGCCTTAGTGTATCTGTATGATGTAGGTGTTATTTTTCTCCATCTTACAGTTAAAAGAACAAAATCTAGGAAGTTTAAATAGCCTCCTCCTGGTCACAAGAGCCAGCAAATAACAGAACTGGAATCGGAATCCCCTTCTGTCCAAAAATCTATCCTCTTAAACACAAAGGTATAGCACCATATTGTGGATGCACAATAAATGAATAAATGATACCTGAATAATTAAACTTAAATGATAGGGTTTCATGAAAAAAAAAAGTTATTCATTGCAAAGACAGCAGAGCCTATGTGGAGACTGCTCAGATATGCTGTGAGTTAATAATAAACAACTCCTTCTATGGCAGCAGAAACAGACCAATGCATTGACAAGTCGTGGTCCTGTAAAAATAGCCCTGTTGTTTCGGATAAGACAGGAAAAAAAAATCCGGACTAAAATAACAGTACATTTGGGACAATTAAATACCAAAAAAAAAAAAATCTTAATCGGAAATCATTTCTGCCTGGCTTGTTTTATTGAGGAATTATTCTATATTTGGAGCCAGTATTCATCATCCAACAATTCTGATGCTGGTTGTGCATGATAAAAGCGAACTAGAATTTAATCACAGGTTGATAGTGCACTGTAATTTAAAATATTTCCTTAAAATCACCATACCGTCTAATCATTTTTTTAATAGTCAAGGAACATAAAGATTTAAAAGATTGTGTGTGGGTGTGTGTGCCCATGTGTGTGCATGAGATATATATATATATATATATATTTTTTTTTTTTTTTTTGCAAATGCTTAAATTGTGTACTTTGTGCTGTCTGAAAAGTTTGGTGTGTACTGATCGATATTATTAGGATATATATCAACATTTATAGAATAAATCTAACTGTGAGAATTTTAAAACATGTTTTCTGTTAATTTCTTTTTTTATAGGATAAATTGCTTTATCTTCATTATTCTTGGTTTTAAATGCCTAATACCAAACTTCTTTCAGTATGGGAACTATTTCTTGGGTAGAATTTAAGATATCAAGATTTAGTTGTGTAAAAGACTCTGTGATATGCGTTGTGCTCACCATAAGGAGAGAAACTGATGAAGTCCCTGCTCATGGAACTTGTAGTTAAGTGGGTACCAGTTGTCAACTTAATATTTCAGTACAGGACATTAAATGAACTTTTTTTGTGTTTTAGCATGGATTTTTCTTGGGAAACAATTTTTTTTTTAGTTGAACCTAAGTAAAATAGTGGTAAAGGTCTAATTCCTAAGTGTTTTGTGCAATTGTCTGCTGTGTTAAAATGTATTTTATTCATGATATAAATGATTTTTCCTAAGATAAATTATCATTGCATTTAAAAGTGATACACAATCTTTTATTCCTCCTTCTCTTCTTTTCTTCCTCTACTTCTCTCTCTCTCTCACTCGCTCTCACTCATCTGCTAATTCAACTTTAGTTGATCTCCTTTCTGATATAGACATATATAACCTATTATTGAGATAAAATGGTGAAAATGACTTAGGAAGTAAAACATTCCTGTTTTAATGTCCTCACCTTCCTTTTTGTTCCCTCTCTAGAACCAAATTTAAGTTTACTTAAATGAATGAGTCAATTAATCAGTTAATCCTATAATTATTTTTGCTTTGATAATTAGTTCCATTGCTATTCTTTTTCATTAGCATGTGCAGTTGTATTTTAGCTTATAGTCTTTCTTTTTGAGAGTTAATGAGGTTTGCTAAGAGGCATATTGCCACAGCAATAGCCAATTGGCTGGAATGCAGCAGCAGGGGGAAAATTCATTATTGAGGAGGATTTTAAAAGGGCAGCTGCTTCTTTAATGCCATAGCTATTAAGAAAGCAGTTTCCTGCCATAACAGTAGCATGTTCCATTGACTTTCCTCCTTCCCAGTTTCATGTTGTTTCCTAATGATGAATTGAGATATAATTCCCACCTACTATCAAAAGCGGGTATAAGGAGTTCAAATTACTTGCTCTCCTAATCAGAAAGTGCCACTACCTATAAAAGAGGGTTTTTTTTTTAAAGTCTTAAATTGTTTCATGAAACTTTCCAGAGTAAGACTGATTTTATTCAGATGTTCTAGTGGGAAATTTAACAAAAATTCTCAAATTTTGATTTTTTTTCTAATGTGGTCATTGGAAATAAAAAATGATGGTTAAAAATGCACATTCATATTGAATTTGTTTCATCGAGATCTTTTTTTTAAGATTTATTTATTCGTATTTATTTGAAAGAGATAGAGGTTGTACTTGAGCTGGGGAAGGGGCAGAGGAGAGGGAGAGAGAGAGAGAGAATCTCAAGCAGGCTCCATACCCAGTGTGGAACCCAGCGCGGGGCTCTATTTCATCACCCTGCGATCATGACCTGGAGCCAAAATCAAGAGTACTGGCTTAACTGGTTGGGTCACCCAGGTGCAGATCATAGAGCTCTTTAAGACAGGAATTAAGACTCCTATCATTTCTATTTCATTTCTCATAACAATAATTTCATTATAATAATTTCCCACTTGGAGATGTTCTGTTATCATCCATCTGTCCTATACTATATATTCTCACTCTCAAAAAAAAAGACTTTTGATCAATTGTGAAGAAGAGAACTTAAGCTTATTATGGTGCATTTAGAATCCTTTGCTGCTCATTATCTATTTAGAGCTCAAAGGGGATTGTTTTCTCCCTCTGATACAAAACCCACTATAAGCATGTCCCTCTCTAAATGTGCAGCATTCTCAGTTCATAAATCCCTTGATGTAGGGAAGATAATCCACATCCATGAGAAAAGTAATAATGGACAAAACACAGAGAAAGGAATGTAATTATTTGGTAATAACTCACTGACACTGGCCTTATCATTTCCAGATCCCAATCAGTAGTGGATCCTACAGTATTAAAACGCATGGATAAAAATGAGGAAGAAAACATGCAACCTTTGCTATCTCTGGACTGATAACTTCTCTGCACTCCCCATGGATTAGAAATGGAAGGTACTTGTTTTCAGCAACAGGGACAGCACTGTGGAGGAATGACCAGCTGGAAACTTATTTATTCATGTTAATGTAGCATAATATATAATAAGGCATTGGGTTTCCCATTTGCTTGAACCATGGGTGCCCTGGTCTGGAGTTAAAGAAAAAAGTCAATAATTTATTCTGTAAGTGCCAAGTTCTTTGTAAATATAATCTAATCTTCACATCAAGTTTGTGAACTTTGGTAGTAACTGAAATTGGAGAAGTTTGGCTCATGAGTCCATGCCAGTGATATAAACTATAACAAAAAACAGAAAAGACACATACAAAATGGAAGCTAATTAAATGTAGCCCTGTTTCCTATGAAGCCATATTTCAGCTCTCATAGTGATTGTTTCAATGTTTTTCTCTGAAATTGTCATATTCCAATGTACTTTTAATGGACACAGGTAACTAGATGATTCTAGGAAATTAGTATGATAAATGTGTTTCCTGCCTAGTGATTTTCATTTCACAGAAAATGTGTCCTAGTGACTATCACTGGCCTTGAATTTTGGAGACAAGGAATGGCAGAAGAGCTGGTAAACTAAACACTTGAACTCTTCTATGTTGTTTAATTCCTGGAGTCTTGTGAAAAGATATGTTCCCCAAATTAAGATGTGGTATTCTAAAAGAGAGTGGATTTTTTTAAACTGCTGTCTTCATAATGTGTCTTTTATTTGAGATCCTATTGTATCCATGTCTGATGTACTTTAAGAACATTTCCCCCCCAAAACTCTTCGACCAAGAGAAAGAGAACTCATACGTGAATAGTGTTTTGACAACTAACTTTGGACATAAAAGTTGCCATGTACAGATAAGGGGCTAATTTCTAATTCTTGAGCACTGGTTGGAAATATATATATATATATATGTATATATATATATATATATATTCACATGCACATATATATTTTTATTGAGCTCTAATAAATCCTTGATGTGACAGGCTTATAAAATAAATCATACATATTCAATGGTCTTAGAGATGTTATAAATAATTATGTGAGATGCTAACTCTGGAAAACTACTTCCACTAAAGTTAATGAAAATGAGGTATAGTGAAACAGACTTTCAGTGAACCTGTTTTAAGGGAATTCTAATTTAATTTGTAATGCAATCTTGAATCTGTATCATTTTAGTGAAATATATTTTTCCTTCACAAAACAACAGGTCTCAACATAATGTGGGCAGTATCAGGTGACCAAGAGTAATATAATTTCTCACAAATTCAAGGTAATTATCTTAATGATCCTATAAGTATAGATTTTCTTTTCAGAAAAGATTGAAAGAACATATTGCATCCATAAGACATAGTGAAAGCATCTGAGGGCATCTGAGATAGCATGTTATAGTTTAAATGTAGATGTGGAATGCTTATGTTAGTTTTCATTTCATAAAAATTCTGCAATTATAGCACATTTTAAAAATCTTACTTTAAATTTCAAATTCCAGTGTGAAAAAGCAAGATTTTTACCACCTTTTCAGAGTGGTAATTTTTGAGATTGAAAATATTCTTTTGAAAGAAAAATATCTCAAGGAACTCTTGGAAACCAACAGAAATAAAGGCATGTAGCAGCCTTTATATACTTTTTAGCCAAAAGCTTCAAAAATTCCAGTTACAATTCTATACAAAACTCTTAATATCAAGATCAGTACACCAACCTGTACTATCACGAATGGACTACCAGTGTTTGTAAAAATACATAAATATACATAAATAATATGATTGAAATATACCTTAAAAATGCCAACCTCAAATCAAGTCTGGAAGAATAATGTCAGGCCCTCTGCTCTACCCATAAATATTATGGAGATTGGAATGAATTGGGGGTAAAAAGCTACAGCAACTCTTACCTTTGTAAGAACCCTAACCACAGGATTCTTATATTTTGGCCTACCTGACATATATTTGATAGTCTTGGACTTTATATACTATAGAAGCAAGTGCTAGGCAATATGATGCAGTAAGATAAAATAGAAACAATGTACAGAAGGATGGTCAACTTTTCATTCTCATGTGTTTCTCTTGATATACACCGTTTATTGCCAAATTTTAGAATTCTACGAGCTTCAGATGTCAACCAGCATAGCCAGCTTCTTTCCCCTCTCATAAGGCTAGTGTCATATATAAAAATAACCAGAAGGGCATATTGTATGTGTATACCTATCTAATTATAAGTATGATTCCCACTATCTCCCTTACCCGACATTTGGAAATTTTGCATCCTATTGCTGTCCGTCTGCTCTTCTTCAAATGAGCAACTGAGAGTTGGCTGCATTGTGTAAAATATTTTTAAATGAATGAAGAAATTACAACAATGATGCCTTTTGAAATTGCTTTATCTAGCTCAATCTGTGAGTAAACTCATTGTCCAGGAATGTTTTTGGAGCTACTTAGTCAAAGGATATTTGGTCAACTTTATAAATCTTCCTTTCAGCATCAGCTAACTAGCACCATTTAGGGATTTTTTTCCCCTAATGTAATTTCCTGTTACGTAGCTATGTCTGTTGTCACATAACTTAGTAAATAAGCACTCCTCTATGTCAATTAATTGTGATAGTGCTCTCTTTCACTCTTTCTCTTTTGTGCGTACATATGCGTGCATACACATGGCTGTTTGCCCTAATGAATTTGCCTATTTTGAGACCTATGCTTTCCTTTTGTAGCTGTCTTGTTACCGAAAATATGTAGACATCAAAGGATTACCACATTTGATTTAGAACAGACCAATAGTTCCTGCTTCTCTCACCCTGCCTGTTCTGCTCTTTCTTATATCCTTTCTTTCTTCCGTTGTTTCAGGGGCAGCTGCTTCCAAAGCTGGTTTAAAAATAACTAACTTTCCTTTTACTGTCAGTGATATTTGCACACATTTTTGCTTGATATCTTAAAAGGAAGAGATTATCGTGAAAATACACTCTAAGAAATATGAAGAAGTGCCTCTTTAAGAACGAGATAAGGCGGTGATACTAGAATATGGATTCTATTTGTAGTCTCTTCTGAAAAGTAAATACATGCATCTAAATAAGGGTGAAATATGAGTATCATTTGAAGAAGGGTAGTTGAGGCCTTGCTTTGAACATTCCCCTACAGCATTAAATCTTTATTGTGTCAGTTCAATACCATAACTTGAACACATTTGCAAATCTGGCATTACGCTAAAACAATATACAGGTGTTTGCAAGGAAGTTTTTGAAGTGGGCATACATGATCTCTTTTATTTCAATAATAGTTTGTGTAGTGTAGGCAGACATTCCTTAAGTCTTTTCACAGAAAATGCTTGTTTACTTGACAGGACTGAAAATTCATACATTCGTAAGCAGGAAAGCCAAGCAGCTAGGTTCTCTTTGACATTGTTAACTGGGTCACATTGTTAAATTGAACATTTGAAGTTTCTGTAATATTCCTGAGGGAGCAGAGGTCCCTCTGATGCATCAAGAAAATGGAGCACTGTTTTAGACCTTGGGGAACATGTTTACCTCTCACAAAAAGAAACCCCTCAGAGCCATGACAGTGTATCTTCAGAAACCGACTTCCTTTCCTTCTCCAAACAACTTAAAGGTTTATGGATATGTCTATGGTCCTTTAGAGAAATTCTATCAAGAAAACCTGCTGTGAGGCTATGTACTCTTCCATTGTTTTATCTAAATGTCTAACTGGTCTGGTTAATACCTTTTTTGGTTATTTTGTGTATATTTATTAATGGTTACTTGAAAAGTTGCCGTCAGCCATGAGGACTTTTTAGAGTGATTATCAACACACAAAATAAAAAGAGCAGAGCTCTGGCATAATATTTAAATTTTCAGATACAGTATCCATATTTTTCACATCAAAAAGCTCGTAGGCCTATATTCCATTTAAATATGCTATATAGATATATGGCCTAAAAATAGTGGTGCATTTTAAGTTTATGAGGCCATTAGATCATGTAAGAATCAGCAAGTTGTATAAAATATATTGGCATAAAAGTAGAAGATTGGCTAAATATTCAGGATGTATAATTATCTACAGCAGTGAAAAGGATTTGTTTTCTTCTTTGTTTTAGTTGAAAAAAACCTGATTTTCAATATGCAGTTGGAACTATTTAGCACTACTTACTATTTGAAAGGTGACAAATAAGTAAGAATACAAAAGGAGGCTTGACTTTGAAACATTATTGTATCATGACCCTAATGGCTTAGAGAACATAATTGTTCACAAATTCAAGTTTTAATTTGGGAAATATCCATAGGTTAACCTCACACATGGAGATACTGTTATGAAGTCTATTCTGTGATGAGAGTGGAAATTTATTCCTTTGGATTGTGGAAAAAAATGTACAAGAGCAATTCTGTGGATTGAAATAGCCAAATTGTACTATCTTTCAAAGATGGAGGATGCAAATGATACTGTTGAAATTAAAACAAAAAAATAAGCATAGATTATGCACTTTTATAGTAGATAGTGGACATTGTTACAATGAAGAAGGTTGTTTGGTCAGTATTGGACTTAGTTTCAAGTTTCAATACAAATATTTGGGTCCTTAATGATATCAATATCAATGCATTTTTTCTGTCAAAATAATTTTTTGGTGAATGAGAGGGACCTAGATGAAAATCAAAATAAATGTTAATGGAACTTTTAAGAATGAGCCAATCCTCAATAATTTTAAAAAATTGCAATGGGTGAAAGCTGGTTTACATACAACAGAGATTCAAAGCATTGTTTTATTTCTAATCCAGTGTTCAGTTTTCAACTTATTTAAAATATAAATAAAATTCCAAAACCAAGTAGTTTTTGTTTTCAAAACTGTTCAGAAAAAAACAAGATGTCTAAGAGGTAATTATACAAGTCCTTGATAAGAATACTAAGCACACTGTTTACTATTTGAGGGAGCTATTTATTCCAATACAATAGTATAACTGGTATAATATAATTTTTGAATAAGTATACATTTCTGCTTTTAAAAAAGCATTCATTTTGCATATGGCGAATGTTGAATTTGGTAGTATTGGATCTGTTGCACCTGTAAAATGTAAATTTCTAAAATGTCATCTCAAATGAACAATAACTTTATTTTTTAAAGAAATTTTAGTTAGCTATTTAGGTTAGAATATCTGAGATTTTTCTGACACTTCTATGTTTGGAGCTTACAGGGGAAACAGAATTCATTCAATCAAAATGTCATTTTTAATATTGTATAACTTTTAGACAAGATTTCAAAGGATAGTTTGAATGAAGAAGTAAATCAACATTTAAGTTGCATATAGCAATGGGAATGATCAGTAAATAACATTTCACTCTTTGTGTGGAGTGGCATTAAAAAAATAAAAGTTATGGCATTAGACAAATTCAAAATTATAAAAAAGCATTGATTTAAATAAATTCTATTAAAATACCCCATTTGAAAATGTTAAATAAAATAAAATTATTCAGCCTGATTTTAAAAACATGAGTAATAAATACACATTTGTATCTTCTGTGAGTTTCCCTCATTTAACCTACCTATAGATGAAAAGTAATCTAATGAGGGAAAAGAGACATTTACCTAGAACCCCTTTGGTAGACTTTATGACTTTCTCTGGCTCAAATGCAGATGACTTCCCTGTATACAGCTTTTGAGGTT